AATATTATTTAAAATTTGACACTGCGATGGTAGCACCGTCTGTCGGATCCAATGTAAAACATTCTAAAATCAACAACTACTAATAAATTTAAAATTAATTAAAAACATTGTCCAGCGGACAAAATTGTGAATCTAAACGATTCCCAGATCCCCTTGAACACACACAAAAAATTTCATAAAAATCGGTCCAGTCGTTTGAGAGAAGTTTAGTGACATACACACGCACAGAAGAATTATATATATAAAGATAGTAAGATGGATAAGAATTTGGCAATTGCACGTGAAGTCAACCAAACAAATCACACATCGAAATATGGAACTTACATGCTAGTTTAATTATTCAGAGATACCTGTGAGTCTTATTACCCTTTGACGAGTAGTGATTTAAAAATCATTATCATTTCTCGATTGATTGGTCACTGCAGTTCATTTTCCTACAATTGAAAGTTAAGAAGGTTCAATCGTCAGTTCGTAGTCGGCGGGACGAATGGATTGTGCGAAACTATATCGAATGGCGAAGTGGACTGTGACCGACCAGCTCTCTATAATTATAACTAACTTTGATTTGATCAACACAAAACTAAGTTGTAATTATGATAAAACTGATTCAATCAATTATGACATTCGCAGTGTTTGAACAAATGTGAATAAATAATTGTTTCAATTGTATGCAAAATTAAATCAGAAATCTGTGGTATATCATGGAAAACCACAACGTAACCAAGATTTGACCGAAAACTTTTATTCTTTCTGTGCATCCTCTCCTCCTTCGATTTAAGGTAGGCAACGCATATGCAATTGCATTTGTCTATGGGCAACGGTCACTTCGCTATTGCACCTTACCTTGTCATGATTGTCATGATATAAAAAAAAACCCTTCAAAGTAAGTATAAATCGGTCTTCCCAAGCTTACATAGGAGAAAATATTTGTATTCCATCGTAAAGAACAGAACACAGACAATGTAGTGTAGTAATTAGTGTCGTATTAAAATTATAAGTAACAAACTGCGTAGAAACTCCTTTCTTTGCCTATGTCTGGCTTCACCGTATCGATTACAGCCATACATGTTGAGGGTAACTTAATATTAGAATTTTCTATGTTAACATTATTACGACTCATCGGTTTACTGCTCATTTAATCAGTTATTGCATTACATAGAAAAATATATAATAATAATCCATCGGTAATGCAAGGACACGGAACTTAAGTTCAAATTATGGCAAAATTGGAAAATTCATCTGACTAAAAAGGTATTTGCTATGGTAATGAATCCAAATATAATTTTATCTTACTAATTTTATAAATGCGAAAGTTTAAATGAATGAACAGCTCAACGGATCTTGATGAAATTTGGCACAGATGTGGAACATAGTCTGAAGAAGAACACACTTAATTACCTAGCTACTTATTTAGCTTTTTCTTTAATTCTTCGCGGACACGGAGTCGCGGTTGACAGCTAGTACTTTAGAAACATGGTATATCACTAAAATGTATTAGTTTCCATTGAAAAACAGTATTTGTTGCTGAGTGACCCATTATGTTGATTTTTTGTTTTATTTCAAAAATCTGTAATTGCTTTAACAAATATTTCTTTCTCTCTTTCTTAATAAACTAACTATAAGTATAAACAAATCAAGTTTGTAAAAAATAATTGGAGAAAGTGAAGAGCGTTGGTCGCAGACGCTTTGCCAAAACAACTCGCGACTAGACTTTTGATTGTCCAATTAATTGAATTTTGCGTCCGCCATTTTTTCCAATACATTCATTGCTGTTAATTAACGAATTTTACATTTAACAAATCGACCCATTCAAATAGAGTTACATATTTTAAAAGACACTCTTCTGTCAGATGTGTCTAAATACTTTTGCGCATCTTTATTCATGCGAATTCCATAAGACATTGTCTTAAACGATACGTGCAAGTTTAATGAAAACATCGCAGTAAAATTATCAGCAAAACAAACAAAACCATAAACTGTCGTAAATAAGATCATGAGATGTTATTTACTTTCTTATCATTCAAACAATATTATCTGTTTATTGTCGTTTACAACAACATTACTACGGGAAACATTACTATTTTTTTTTCCTTTTACAAAATCGTTTAGACTTTTGGTTTTCCATTTTGCAAAGTTATTTTAAGAACGTGACAAACAGAATATTATCTCATTGTTATTTAAATGTTATACTCGTAGTGAACACAAATTGCATTGGATTTTTTACTTCTAATATTACTAATATTATAAATGCGAAAGTTTAGATGGATGGATAGATGTTTGTTAGAAGTTATCAACGAAACGGCTTAGCAAATCTAAACAAAATTTCGCGTACATGTAGAACATAGTCTGGTAGAATACAAAGGCTACTTATTTTTTTAATACCGCGCGGACAGATTCCTGGGCGAGTGACACAATAAATTTATTGAACGAAAATTTTGTATCGTTTAATTTTTTTCGTTATTTTAGCTATTAGGATATTTTATTGTAACCGTTATACTAAGTAATGAGTAACGGTATTGTAAAACGTGTTTAAATTGAACGGTAGATGAAATTTTAATGTATTCATAATTACGTATTTTAATATTATCAGATTTGGAAATGTTATCAGGCGTCATTATAACGTTTATTCAGTCATTTACAACGTTATTGTGATGTCAATTTAAATATCGCGGTGGACGAGTTTTAGACAGATAAAAAAATAATTATAAACCAATTATGTATCGTATATTTTACAACATGTCTATATTGTACAATGAATCAATTATTAGTTTATTACTTTTTACAATAATTACTAGGAAATAGCAAATTTTTAAAAATCTTAAAATTACAGCATCGTAAGAATACAAAAGAACATTTTGGAATTTAAAAATATAAATTGGTCCTTACTAGCTTCACCAAGTAAATTAAATCTATCATGGCTCAATAGCCTCCATCTTCCTCTATAATTTCGCGAAGAAACCAATGCTACATTTTTCCAAATTATAATGAGGTTTTTATATTTCTGCTTTGGCTATATACAATTTATTTCCACTAACCCAGTATGCAAATGGTATTCTTACCATGTTTAAGCTGTTTAAGCGCCCGATATTATTACTAATTCGTAATGCTACGAATTGTCCGTATAAAAATTGGTTTCTCAAAAAGGAAAATGACAGTAAGACACGTTCTTTGGTGACTCTCGGTAAAGGTCAGCACATTCTTAATCTAAACAAAACCATTATACGAATTGTAACTTAAACATAATACGACAGTACGTGTCCTAAAGATTAACATGCAAATTAATGTAAAATTAAATATCTACGTATGTAAGCATTATGAATATTTGTGATTCATATTCCGTTTTAAAGCACCATAAAATGTCAGACATGCAGAGTGAGGCGTGGAAGGTCGTCACAAGAGCTGGCTGGTCACGATCTTGTATTCACTTTTAACTGCTTCGTCGTATCCATGTAAAGTAATCGTGTTTCACTTTCATTAGAGAGTTAAGTAACCTAATTTTATTCCATTATATTCTGTCATCGGGTCATATATGACACCGTCAATATATTAAATTAAAATGAATATTAAAATTACAAAAAAATACCAGTCGTCCGTGAGTTTGTCAGCACATAATTAATAAGATACCCTATAATATGCCCGCTTGCATAAGCTACCTTTCGGTTCAAGTCCCGTCAAAATCGGTACAGTCGTTTCAGAGATTATCCGGAACAAACGCGGCCTTGAAGGCAAACATACAGACAAAAATATTTTTTTTTTGTTATCAGCAACGCAAACACATCACGAGTACAAATATGATTTTTTTTCAACTCCTCACCTAATATCCTCGAAGGTATATAATATATAAGTTTTGTTGTTTGAACACTGCATAAAATATTACGTGATTTTTATCTTGTTAACGGTATTAAAGATATCTGTAGATTCAAGAAGCAAATGTCCCGTTACTTCCTTTCCATCGCAATGAGCATTAAGAGAAATTAAACAGATCATTGATAAAGAAAACAAACCGCGACATAAAGGTCTACAATCTAACAATACGCGAGGCTAGCAACTTTGTGGTTGGAAAGAGGAATCACAACCCTTTGACAGAATATACTACTACTACTATAATACTTCTGAACTAAAGTTACCGGTTTTAATTTATCTCTCCCTTACCTGTATAGACTTTAAGAAATCGTGGGTATATCAAAACTACTATTTACAGATGCATTGAGACATTTGCGGGAAGTGGGATATCGCAATACTGTCTGAATAACGAACGGTAATGTAGTAATAGTGCCAAGGTGAAAAGGTGATAATGCAGTTGGTATTAGATTTAACGATAGGATCACCACTTCTTTGACACTGACTACACTTTCACAGTCTAATAAAAATTTAAATTATACGTGAGCAGAAACAGGATATAAGACGTATTTCCATTCATGATGTCGGTGGCCCTGAATGTTGGAGACGCGGAACAACAATCACTTTTGTAAGTTTTAATCCATAACATAAAATTAAGCCACGTAATTATGATAGAAATCACATCTACATTTAATTTAATAGTATTCATAAAATGTAAAAAATACTACATAAATATACGCACCACGATCGTTGAGCATCTGCCTTGACATCTTTGCTTAAACCGCATGATAATATTGACTCATAAATACGTCAAGGTGTTTCTTTTTTGCTTTAAATTGTAAAAAAGCTGTGCCACTTGTAACACGCAGCACCAGTTGCTACATAAAAACTGAATAATAGTTGCCTAATGCTGGATCATATCCACGAGCAATAAATTCTATTTGTGCCTATTAAATGATAAAGTAATTTTTGTTCGAGTAGAGTCCAAATTTAAACTGATCATACAGAATTGCCGGGCAACCGAAATGTATGATGGCATTGAATTAATTGGCAAACAGTCTTATTTGTTATTCATTCAAAAAGGTATAAAGAGCCGTCGTGTTTGTGTGCTCTTATAACAAGTTGAGAAGCGTTATCATTTGAATTCATCGATAGCTTACCTGCCCCGCAAGAGTTCTTCCAAAAGTCGTAGAATTTACTGCACGCACACATCTCGTATCAACGTCACTTCTCACTAAAGAAAATGTATTTTTAAACTTCACTCGTATAGTTTCGCAATCTTTTCAGCCGGTACGCATTCGCACGATTCAAATCGGTTGCCGATCTTCAGGGGAACTCGCGACGACCGTTGATAAACAGTTGCGATGTAAACATGTCGAGCTAACGGCTCAGGCGGTCGTCTCTGTACCGTTGTAGCGTAGAAAGCGTGTCCAGGGGAGGGTGGCTGGCGTCATGGTATGGCCGGCGCGGGCGGATGAACGACGCGGCGGTGACAGCGGAGCGTGCACTTCGGATCACTGCTTGCAAGAGACAATACGTGCTTCCGATACGGGCGCCCTTGGACGACTGTCGGTTCGCGTTCGCTTCGCCGTCGCAAACATTGCGCGCACAAACGTTCGCGCTCGGCCGCGTAAACCGCCGACGGCTCGCGCCCGCATCTAATGAAACCGGAGGGAAATACACAAATTTTTGATTCACTTTTATGAGACTATGTACGCTGAGATTGACGGCACGACTCCGAGATATATTAAATCGAATATTTAACATGCGTGAAATTAAAACGTAACACAACGAAAGTATCACTCTTTTCAGTATTAAGCAAATGGTTACATTCAAAGTGACATGATTTTTTAATTTATACTAGGGAAATCAAACTGTTACATATTCATTTGCTTTTGTTACTTAGCACAGTAATGACAACTTCGTGAGGCTGTGGAGTACAAATTCTTTAAAAATATGTAGGTAGTTATAAAATATTTTTCATACAACTATATGGGCTATATGTGGTATTCCACGTTAATAGCTTCCGACAGCAAATGTAACGATGTAAGAATGTCGCTATAAAAAATCTAGGCCACCATTACATTGTGTATGAAAGAAAATTCCTATGGCCATTTATATTACTAATATTAAATTTTTGTAAGTTATTTTCAGATCAAAATATATTTAGTCAAAGACTTAAAATATTTAACACTAGTATTTACAAAATTCTTATCTAAGTGCTGGTCAATACGAAATGCGGAACGCAAAATACTTGGTCGTAGATTTCCAACGTTAGAAAAAATATACCAACACGTATGCTTGATGTATGCTTAACTATATTAAGCTAGAAGGCCATTCGATCACAGATTAAATAATAACGCAGAGCCTATTATAGACACCAGGAAGCACTGCTATGTGACGCCATAAAATGCTTGCAAGTTGTAAAAAAAAACTTACATGTTAAAACTAATCAATACATTATTATGATATATAGACGTATTTTTTTTATCAATTTATACTTCAACAAAACATTATTCGCTTTGTAAGTAATCCATTTTGTTAATTGGCTATGAAATAATTACTATCCAGGATAAACGTGTTGCAAAGATTTTTCCTGTCCTCACTTCTATATTGTAAAAATTGTAAAATGCCGTGAACTTTAGTCATTACTGTTGGCTTTAAAACGCTATGGTTAAAGTAAGTTCTTTTTAGAACAATCAAGATGGTCAATTGCCTTTTCAAAGGCAGTCAGTTACGCATTTGATTTGACGCTATTGTCTATTTAACCTCATTTCCTTTAATAATAAAGAATGTCGATTGTTTTGAGGATACAAATGAACCTAATAAAACATCCTGAGTAAGAACCTTTATCATATGATCAAAGATTAAATGGATGACCTTATAGATTTTTACTTTTTTTTTTATATTTTATATTAAATAATAATAATTTTATAATACGGCCAGTAATATTTTCGTCTACAACTCTGCTAGTCTAAAGCTAAGTAGTTATTATGTCATTTTTAAGGGATTAAAAAATATGTCAAAATAACGTGTAAAAGAACCTTCTATGTGTTAATGATAGCCGTTCCCGCGTTAGTTATTTTATTTAAAAAATTGTACTTATAAATAAAACCAGTCTCACATGGGGATAGTATAATTATCAAATTGGTTCAGTAGTTTCGGAGCCTATTTATTGCAAATAAACATAAAAATCTTTCTTTACTTCTGAATTTAAATTCACACAGAATTTTCATAAATTTATAGCTGTTGCGTAAAATGTCGGGGTCAAATTGAAGAGATTTTTTTCTAAGGCGCGCGGATCTGAAACGATGTTCTGTTTTTTTTTCTGGTAGACTTGACCCAGTTAAAGGAAATGGCACAATCGTCCACCAACACCTCAGAAAGTAATACCCACTGAACGCATAAAAACCTCTATAGCTTCGTAATTAAATAGCTTTTTATGAGAATTACCGAGTTTTGTAATTATGTTAACCAGGCAGATCAAATTACACTAAGGTTGTTTAATTTATAGACAACGTTATTAATTGAAAATTCATCTGAAAATCATCTTTGTAAGAAAATATAATAACAAGATTCGCTTTTATTCGCGCAACAACTGTTGTACAAAACAACAGTGGGAAAAAACACAAAAATTCATATAAAAAAACATTAAGGTGTAGGCACAATATGTAAAATCGATTTTGATAGTAAAATTAAATAAATATAAGCAAAACTTTTAAAAGTTTGAGAATAATGATATAAATATCGCTTACATGTAATAGTTTCAATAAGGACTCAACTTGATCAACTCAACTCAGTGTGGTTACACATAATCGTATCAGTTATTTTTCTATAATCTACAATTATTTTCTTTAAATTTTTCGTCGTAATATTTACGTAGAAATTGCGAGACGTGGAACACCTCAGGCCAGGCGGGATAACCTATTGATATAGAGTTCATTGTCGTGACGTATTCACAATATTGTTGGTTATTAATGTTTGTTGTATGAATAATTTATTGCACTTATCACTGGAAATTACGCTTTTTAACCATCGATCTCGAGCCGTGGCTTGTTGAGACTAAAATCCCCGTTTAAAACCTATTGTTATCTCTGTTTTGTGAAAGTATATGACAGGGATGACGATATGTTTTATACAAAGATTTTTATCTGGGACGTTACAGCTTAAACATTGGGCGACGAATATGCATATAAACTTTTGATCTTAATGTTTGTTGATATTAGATGTTATTGTATGTTGATTTTTTAATAGCTAAAGGAATTATTTGCATGACTGGTTAATAAAAGATATAAGAGAGTGTCATCTTGGCACATTACATTTTTTACTAAAAATATTCCTACAACAACCAATTCTTTACACTTCAACTTTGACAATAATGTACACGTATGCTATTAGTATATGATGAGAGGATGACTGCCCTTCGGTGGGGAGTAAAAAGTCTTGCATTAATAATATCGCTAGGGTCGTCTGCGGAGCAAGAGGAAATAACCTTGCGACTTGACCCCACGTCGCCTTAGCATGTCAGCACGTGACCGATTCATTGATTAGAAAGTTGTTAATTGATACTGTTTTGTACGTCTGTCATAAAATAATACAGACAAATATCAGAACATAGAATCTACATATATATTTTTCTTTTTTTTCATACCCAATACCCGAATGTTCAAGATCAACCCAATTAAAATAAAATAAGCAAGTACGCTTATTACTTTTTTGTATATTTATTCAAGCCGAAGTCTTATAAAAATATCAAATGATTGGAATGTCTTGGTCAACGCGATATTGGATTCGAAGGCAATATTTGTATACAGCACAAACAAAATACTGTATATTTGCTTCCGGCTTGGTAGGCGTTGTAACACCTAAAAACGTCTTATTAAAATTGTATTCAAACTTTCGATCTCATAAATAAAAACGTAATCAGAAAGTGTTTTATGCCTATACTGGAATTAGTTGAACAGGACGGTGAAAATGAGTCTTTTGATAAAAGCTGACTTTCTTGATGATACTTGTTTTTCACATATTAATAAAATGAACCGGTATTGTAACATGTCCCATCAGCTAACAATATTTATTTCGTAATCACCGAATACTGGCTCCTAACGAAATTGTTTTACTAATATCCTGCATGTTCGAACTCACAGGAAAAAAAATGTTTATTTCCTTGTAATTTCATGTAGCCTTAACTAATTTTGAAAAGAGAAATATCAATTATTCGTGTTCTTCCTCAGAATTTTACTTAGGTAATTTGCTATTCTCTAATTTATTACAGTAAATATAATTGTCGTTTAGGTTAGGTGATAAAAGAATACGACGAACCAATCTGACAGACGTGCAGTTGTGGCGGCGGCAGCGTGGAGCCTCTGCCTTCATTTTCCTCATCTGTGCTGCGAATGTTCGGCGGTGTTCGATACGTCACATATTCTGTCACACCACTTACCTGAAACAAAGAAATAAAACTTTTTTACACGATATCTTAAGTTTTCATTCAAAGATAACTAGAATAACATGTTTATAGGAATATTTAAAACATAATTATAGATAAATATGTAAATAAAATACATTTCTGAGTATTTATTTTATATGAAAATGTTTATAATGGTGTAAACAAGTGAAGGGTTCACGTGATTCAACTCGTTTTCTTCAATCGTCACGTGTATGTCGACTTGATGATTGTTAATCTCACGTGCACATTACAATCAATTCAAACAATCAAACACACTGGTACTGCACAATCTTTGCGTTGTAAATGTTAACAATGTCACGCCTGTCCCTTGTTATATAGCAACATTAGACAGTCGTGCAGAATTGCAGTGAATATTTACGTAGTGAAATGTAGAATATAGCGAATGCTTTGTTAAACGTAAACAAGTTCTATTTTCTTAAACATAATTGTGACAAACTTGTTGCTTTGTTCCATAATTAACACATTGTTTACCCTCTAGTTATTAACGCCTGTTTTATATGAAGCTCACTATGAGTCAATCTTTAATTTCTTTAAATTTCTAAATTATAAACTTTTTTGTAGTATGGTAATTTATCCTCAAAATATTTTTGATAAATTAATTTAACAATAACTGATACAAACCAGAAACTACAGTTTATAGATAAAACAATGTCCTTTCAGTATCCTAATGAAAAAGTTGAAATGCATGCCAGCCTTTTGTTTCCAAACAGTTGCTTGTCGGCTTAGAAATATATTTTCTGTAAACGGGCGCGAATATCACTTGAGGTTTTTTATTCACGTATTTTTATTAACATACGAAATAGTATCGGAATAAAATTAATTTTAAATCGAATTTGATCCTTCATATACAATGAACGAGAGAAGAATGGTTGGGTTTAATAAGAAAATATAACTTACGTATTAGAATAAAGCTTCGTCCTACTATAGATCCTGATTGAAATTGGACGCTCTGTTTGAGCTGACGATTCAATTAAAAGATCTGGGCAACTGTGATATATTTGTTTTCAATCGAGAGACGAGAGAATATGTAAATTGAAATTTAATAATACATTTAGAAATTTATAAATCAATTCCTATGGGGATTCTTTAATTTTTAATTAATAGGCAAAAGAGTTTACTTACAAATAATTACCTATAAAATTAATGATAATGAGTCCTCTATTATTTTATAAGA